TAGTCACACCATCATTTTGTTCTCAAGGAGTTCAAAGCCAAAGGGTGATGGAGTTAGGGGATGCATTAGTTATTTGGCTCACTGCTGTGACAACATCCTGGCAACAGCAATGTAAGCAAGGAAGGGCTGACTTTGGCTCATGATGTGATGGCATATAGTCCACTGTGGAGGGGAACAGAGGTCAGCAGGAGCATGGGGCTGCTGGTCACATGGAGCCCGGTCAAGAAGCAGAGAAATGTGAATGCTGGTACTCAGCTTGCTGTCTCCTTTCTATTCAGTCTGAGAAACTGGTCCATAAAATAATGTCACCACATTCAAAGCTTGGCTTCCCCATCCAGTTAAACTTTTCTGGAAACTCTCATAGATGAAGCCAGAGGTGTGTTTCTATGGTGATTTCAAATGATCACACAGTACAATATCAGTACTCAAAGAGACTCCCTTGTGTAATAGTGACAGAGAAGATGACAGGAAAACTCTCCTCTATTGTCAATCAAGAAGGGACAGTGAGGTATGGAATTGGCAGGTGGCAGGTATCAGAAGCTCAGTGAAAGACTTTGACAACAAGGTGTAGAGTAAAGGACCCATGCTGCAAACATGAAGCCAGATTGGTGGATGAAGAAGAGATCTCCCAAGACCCTCTTTTCCTCTTCCTGAGACCATGCAAGCTCAGTGGTGAGTAAAGCAGGATGTAGTAACTGGTGAAGACCATGCTGTTCTTGCTATCTCCATGGACAAGGAATCAGAATCGTGGATCTAGGGGTGCAGACAGTATAGTCCTGATAGTCCTAAGTTGTAGCTCAGTAGCAGAATACGTGTTCAACACACACCAGTCCCAACTCAATCCTGAGCACCTAAAACCAAAGTGCAGTAGTTTTGAAGCTGCAAAATGACAATTGCTGTTGCTAAATATTCTTTTATACTATGTGAAGATGTGTCACTATGATTGGTTTCATAAAGAGCTGAATGGCCATTAGCTAGGCAGGATGAGGTTAGGAGGGACTTCTGGGAACAGAGAGGCAAAAAGGAGATGAGGTAACAAGTGTGTGGAAGAATGTATATTAAAAAATATGGGTTAATTTAAGTTAAAAGAGTTAGTTAGAAACAAGCCTAAACTAAGGCCAAATTTCACCATTAATAATAAATCTCCATGTCCTTTTTTGTGAGCTGGTGGCCAAAATGAAAGATCTATTACAAATTGCTTTGGCAAGAGTGACCAGGAAGAGGCACATCGTTTCTAGAAATTTTTCAAGTAGGCTTTGGGAAAGGAGGAGAGAACCTGGAGATGTGCCGGGGGTTGAGCTCTGAATCCCCACATGGATGGAAACTGGGACATCGGCCAGAAGGCCAAGGACTTGATGGTTCCCTGTGCTACAATGGGGCTCTCAGATGATTGGAACCATGGCTAAACAATCTCCATACAGTCCCTAGGATCTGTAGGGGCAGGTCAGGGCCAAAGTGGCAGCCCCTCAAAGACAGTCCTCTTCCAGAAGTCCAGAGGATGTGGAGAAGAAACAGAACTGTCTAAAGCAGCAAGTCTCAACTTGTGGGTCGCAACCCCTTTGGGGGTTGAATGACCTTTCACAGGGGTCATCTAAGGCCATCAGAAAACACAGATCTTTACACTGCAATTCATTAACAATAGCAAAATTACAGTTATGAAGTATCAATGAAAGTAATTATATGACTGGGGGTCACCACAACATGAGGAATTGTACTAAAGGGTCACAGCATTAGGAAGGTTGGGAACCACTGCTCTAAAGCAATATGAAATTGGAACTGAGTGTGGAAATGCATGATGGGAAACAGACAGGAAAGTTTGGAGTTCCTACAGTGAACAGAGAAGGGGTGCTTTGTGTGTGTGTGTGTCCCCCTCCACAAGCCTCCCTGCTCCAGAGCCCACTCTCCTTTTAGGATTGGAGATGTAGCTCGGCAGTAGAGGCCTTATCTGGTATACACAAAGCCCTGAGTTTGACCTCCCCTAGCATGGCAAAAATAAGTAAGTAAATGAAAACATCAACCACATACTATTCTGCACATGTCAATACTAGTACGAGAGAAAGGCAACTGTGCCCCTTATAGCCTCCAGTTGTAGGTAGGTCCTTAGGTCTGGCATACTTACCTGTCACCTGAGGACATTTGCCTATCATCCTTGTCCCTGACACCTAAAGCAAGCCTTCGCCTTCTCTATATTAATTTTTTCACCTTCATTCTGGTAATCAGGGCATCCAGCATTGATTGAGTAGAATAATCCAGCAAAAACAGGAAGTAGGGCATAATAAGGCTGAGTCAGAGAGCTCTCAACTTCGAGGACCTACAACACTTTTTGTTGGAGGGAGGGGCATTGAGACAGGATTTCTCTGTGTAGCCCTGAATGTCCTGGAACTCACTCTGTAGACCAGGTCAGCCTTGAACTCAGAGATCCATCTGCCTCTGCCTCCCAAGTGCTGGTATTAAAGGTGTGCATGCCCAGTTAAACTGGGGTTTCTGATCTTTTCCCTCTGTCCTTGTCGAGGGTGCAATGCTCCTAGGCTCCTTTGACAAGTGCATTATGTCATTATTCCCCTGTGGCCAGTCTTGCCCATAAGCCCCTCTGCTAAATGATCACCACATCCTTCAGATGCTGAAACATCTTCCAGCTTGCTCCAATTACTCTCTGCTCCTACCAGGAGTTAAATATTCCCATCATGCCTTGACCCTTTAGAACAACTCTGTGGTTGTATCATGAAACAGTGGCCAGACAGTTTAATTGAATCTTCTTATGTCAAGTGCGTGCAGACATCTGTGCAGAATAACAATGTGGAGGAAGCCCTTGCAGAGACTGTTTCTTCGCTCAAGTACTTCACTGCCATTCAGCGTCACACTCGCAGAAGGCATGCTCACTTTCCTCCGTGTCATACTGAAAAGCATCAGTTGGAATTGGGAGCTGGAGACACACTAGCAAGGCTGAGCTGGACTGGAGAGCTGGAGGTAAGCTCTGGGCAGATAGTCTGGAGAATTACCTCCCTCTCCTTTCTTCCCTACCTACATCCTTTCCCCTCTTGTCTCTGTAGGGCAGGCTTAATTCTGATGCCTAGGCAAACACTTGCCCCATCACAGGGTTTCTGATGATTCTGCCTCATGTTCTGGATCCAGTAGGCCATCTGGGCTCTGCTCTGGGGCTCTCCCACCCAGAGACCTAGGAGTAATAAACAGCCAGAATTTGACATGATAGACCAATAGCAGAACCAGTCACCATCACCCCTTAAAGCCTCTATCCTGAATGGTCATGTCACTTCTGCTCACAATTCATTGGCTGAAACAAGTCACATGAGCATACCTGTCAGAAACAAGCTTTTTTTTTTTAATATTTTTATGTTATATTCATTGCTGTTTTGCCTGTGTGTATGTCTGTGTGAGGGTATTGGAAAACCCCTGGAATTACAGACAGTCTTGAGCTACCCTGTGGGTCCTGAGAATTGAACCTGGGTCCTCTGGAAGAGCAGCCAGTGCTCTTAAGCACAGAGCCACATCTCCAGCCCCAGAAAAAAAGCTTCTTAAATCTATGTCCTGAGGATGAGCATGTTTTCCCTTCCAGTCCTAACACCACCACTATCGACTCCTCTATTCCATCGCTCTTAAGCAGAAGCTCCTGTCGGCTGTCTTGAAATTCACGCTCAGTTCTTCTCCCCCAATTTTCCTTCCATTCTCAGGTAAGAATGAGTCTTGTGTCATTGCCTTCTTCTCAAGCCAGTACCTTTCTCTAGTTCTCATTTGTTCTCGAACCCCAGTATGATGTCCTTCCTATGGCCACCCTTCCAGGACTCTCGTCCTAAGTGCTTGAGTCATAGGATCTTTGCAGTTGCATTGTCTCGAATGCACCCCATCCCATCACCTTCCCACAATGATTCTTCAGCTCTGAGTTGGCCATTCCTTTGTTCACAAAGTCCCAAGCACACATGTGTCCTCGTGGAACACAGAAGCTGGGGCAGTGTTTTCCCACTGTGTTTTCAGTTGCACGCCACTATAGTACTGGCCCAAGTGAGAGGTGTCTACATCTTCAGTGAGGTGAGCAGAGCATCGATGCTGCTTGCTGGGTTTGTAGGTATGCAGAATGCAGGAGTTATGGGGTCATGAAGCCTTACACTGAAGATCCGGAAAATAAGCTGGTGAAACCAAGCACTATAGTATATAGCAATGTTAGATCCTTTGCAAAAGAACCTGAGAGGTCCTTGCTTGTAACCCTGAAAATGAAACCTGAGTTGCAATGGAGACACCAGGACATATCACAAACATGGAACTTCTGCTGAGAAAAGGTGGCAACACTGCGTGGAGCTGCTTCAAGACAGAACTATACCTAAGCCTACTAGAGACCAGACTATGCTACCAGAAGACCTAAATGCTATAAATGAAGAGTTGCAATGGTATTTGCTCTGCTGGGGTTTGGTCTTGGCTGAACTTTTCTCCCTGTACCCCATTCCTCTTGATTGGGATATAAATGTTTCCTCTGTGCCATGAGACTGTGATTTTTTTTTGTTATCTCACAGGGGCTCATGGCTATGAGATTTTGGGGACTTTTGAAGTTAGATTAAATATATTACATATTATGAGATGGCCTTTAGCCTATGGAGGCCAGAGGCTAACTCTTAGCCTTGAGTGTGGACTATATCCTACAAGCTCATGTGCTTGAATACTCTGTACCCCTTAGGTGATGCTGTTTTTGAAGTTTGGGGAACCTTTAGGAGGTGGAGTCAGGTTCAAGGGAATGGGATGCTTAGGTCAGGGAGCCTTGTGGCCCCCAGTTTCCTTGCATGTTCTGGCTGCTTCCTGGTTCATCAATATGTGAACAAATCACTCACCCTCTTACCACCATGGAACTCTCTCACCCCACCATGAAATTGTGAATCCCCCAAATCAATTTCTCCCTGAAGTTGCTGCTTTCCAGTTATTTGTTACAATGATGAGAAAAGTACCTCATTCCTTCTTTCCCCATGACATGTTCACCTACAAATAGAGACACAGTATATACTCACAACTTTAATAGGTCATTAGCTGGGGTGGTGGAAAGTTGACGGGCTTTGATTTTTGTCCTTCATGTGTTGTCAATTTCAAATAAATTAAGTTAGTCCCAAGAAAACAAAGTCTGAATTTCACAATTTTCTGAGAATTATTGGAACCAGGTCTTCCACATGAGATATGAGTCTATAAATATTTTCAGTGCCTAATGCAGTAATTACATTTTGGTGCTGATACACATGTAAATGTTTTCATATTCCTACCACATGCATGTTGGAGTGTACACACATTTTTCTTTATTTTTTTTTCGTTCAGAGAAGCACATAAAATACAAATCTCTTTACTTCAAAGTCAGAGCAGAGGAGTTGGAGTTCTAAATATTTTCTGATTTGGAGTGGTGTTCCACGACACTAGCATGAAACCAACTCTTCATCAAAGTGGTTTGCTTCAATCAGGGCTGTACCGATGCGCTATAAATTATAAATCATATCTTCTGTTTTACATGGGAATGGAAGCTTGGAGGTGGCTCGCACTCCAACAGACGGACTTGAGGTAGTTTCATGTCCTCGGTTGCTTATGATTTGCTTCTAAGGTCATTTTCAAAGACTCTGCCATTAACTTCAGAGGCAACCCGGCAAGGAGCTTTCAGCAGCTAAGTATGGGTTTTGGCACGGGTTCTGATAGTTAAACAAGGCAGCGAGGAATCACAAACAAGGAGCCAGGAGGGACGAGTGGGAGGGAAAGGTGGCTGGGAGGGAATGGGGAGAGAGAAATGACACCCACCGTCATACTAGTCACCTCTCACTGGGTTCTTGGTTCCTTCCTGGACAAGAAATGAAAGGGAAGGAGTGCAGATCTGAGTAGTGACAGGAGTACCAGCATTTCAGTCTAACCTATGCTTCTGGTTTTCCCTGGGGCTGTGGGAAAGCTGAAGACCCCAGTCATCCATCACATTCATGGTCCCACCTTAAGTCCAGGATCATTTTATCTTGAAATGATCAAATAAGACAGCCCCCCCCCCCTCAGATTGTAGGTAGACTTGAAGGGTGTGTGTGTGGCTACCATCCAGCCTCCCACATCCCTTGAGCATGCTGCTGTCCTGGCTGTGATCTCTCTCGTGCCCAACTTGTACCTTCTCTTTTGAGAACAGCCCAGGTTGGTGTCCCATTCACAATCCCCCTGCCTTAGCTCCCTAAGTGCTGGGTTTTTAGTCCTGTTGCAATCACTTCGCACTTTCCCTGTGCTCTTTGGAGCCTCTGAATCTAGTATCTAAAGTGCTTGCTAATGGTTGGTACAGCCAGGATCCTTGGGACTCTGTCTGCTCTGACACCCCGAGGTTCTAGACACCACCGACAGTGCACATCATCTCAGTGAGGACCAAAGAAGCTTTGGAATCAGGTGGACAGAAGACAGTGGCTGCAGAGTATGTTATAGAAAACCAGGAGCTGATATGATAATGGTGGTGAGTATATCTGCGCACACGCACAGCCAGGAGTACACTTGTATGTGAGAAAAGACTGTTTGACCAAGCTGGATTCCTTGTCTATGTGCCTGGGCAAGGCATGGTTTCCCATATGTGTTCCTTCCTGCTGTGTTTTATTGCTTGGGGTGCCCATCTTCCGCTCTTGGGAGATACATTAGTAATCCGTGTTCCAGAGGTTTACTTTCAAAGTTTTCAATGACCTGTGGTTAAGTGAGATCCCAGAATATGAAACGGAAAATTACAGTAAAAAAAAAATTCTAAGTTTGGAATTGCGTGCTGTTCTGTGTAGTGTGATGAAATCTTTTACCACACCAACCAGGACATGAATCACCCCATAGCCTAGCACAGCATGCTGCATGCGTCACAGAGCTGTTAGTCACTCCCTAGCTGTCTCCTTCGTCAGACCAACTGTTGCATATCACAGTGCTGTGGAGCTGGTGATTCAGGTATGTCCTCCCAAGGGACAAAGAGTGAGTTGGGGGTATCAGTCATGTGCCGCACAAACACCCCACTTCTTTCTTCCATCCAGCACATGGTAGGTACTCCTCAAGCCCTTTTAAAGTTTTGGCACGGACAAGGGAATGTAAGCAAAAGTGATACATTACTTCCAGGAGGAAGCATGATTTTCTACCTCCTTTCCCCACTGCTGCAGAAACAGAAGCACCCATTGAACACCAGTCTCTGAATAAAGGAATCTGTTTGCAGAGCCCCCTGCTGGCCGGTGGTGGACACACAGTACAAAAGAGAAATCACCACACTGCTTTACATTTCTGAGCAGGCTTGTTACTGCAGCATGACACAACCTCTTCTGGCTAAATAAATAATGTACGTGACGTACTTGCTTTTGTAACTCCTATAACATATAGTGTCCGATGTTTAGTAGGTTCTCAATAATATTTGATAAATTAAGCAGTGAATGTAAACACATTTAGCTTGAAAAGGAACAGCCATCCATCACATATATAAACAAAGTAGCTGCTGTACTAAGGGGAAATGGGGTTTGGAATTAGATAGTGTAGATAGCGTTTCAAACTGGAACAAATGTATGCTTTAATCATACCTATCTCATTGGTAGGGTTGTGATTTAAACTATTGCCTTTAGCATATTTATTTTATTGATGCCTTAGTAATTAAAAAGAAAAGAAAGAAAAGAGAAAAAGAAGGCAGGAAAAAGAATTAGTAGTTGCTGGTGATATAAAACAAGGCAGAAGACTCAGCAGGTGGTAGAGATAACAGTTTTCTACTCTCAAGGCTTGACTTAATGTGAGAGCTTGCCCATTACTCACTATTCTTATCTTTTGACTCATCCCGCTCAGTTATTTATTCTCCAAGTATTTATTGAGCAGGTAGGTGCTGAGTCCTTGGCTAGGTGGCTGATTCTCTCCTGAAGCTCAGCTGTGTAAGGTGTTAAGAGCCAGCATAAGGACTGCCACAGTCAGCTCCAAAGATTGGTGGGAGGAGGAATCCATCAGATTTGGGACCAAAGACTTGCTTTGTTTCACTACCTTGTATCTTCTCATTCCATAGTTCTCCAGCCCTTCAATTTCCTTCCCTACAGCTGGTCCTCAACGCCTTTGTCTGGCACAGCAGCTCTCTGAGAGAGAGGAGAGGAATACATTGTTCCCATTTGTAAGGTGAAGAAACTGGCACCAAGAGAATGAGACAGAGGCCGAATGAAGACACTGTGGCCAGCAACTTATGCTCACTGTCAGAGGAGAACAGCTGCTCCAAGCAGGAAAGCTGGTCAGAGACTAGTGACTTCCTCACCTGGTGAAGGTCATTTGATGACTCAGTATCAAAGTCAGCACTAAAATGAAAACAACAATAACAAGAAAAGGTAACAATTGTTGGCAAGAGCCCTGTGTGTTACTGACAGAAAGTTAGATGGTACAGCCCCTGAGGATAAACGGTAAGGTGGTACCTCAAAAAATTAAACGTGACTTACCTGAAGATACAGAAACTTCATTCCCACCTGCCAGCGGGTCCAGAGGAACCAGAGAAGATATTTGTAAACCTACATTGTTAACAACGTTATTTACATTATCTAGAAGGCAGAAGCAACCCTTGTCCATAATAGGCAAACGGACACACCACATGGCATGTACACCTCCCAGGGAATCTCATTTCATTGTTGAAGGAAGAAAATGCCAGGGCACCCTGCAGCAGAAGGAACATGGAGGACACTGGGGAGGGGCCAGCTGGACCAGGATGAGACTCTACTTTGAAAGAAATGCCACAGAGCTTCTAGATATCAATCACATACAAGAGGCAGCTGAGGGGTGAGTTCAGCTAAATATCCCATTAAGTTGCCTGTGGTCTTCCCCTCCGCTGAGGAGGAGGGGAAAAAAGCATTGGGGGGAGAGCACTGGCACTTCAGTAATCCCTACAAAACTTGGACCTCCCGTGTAGTGCTGGGTGTAGGTAAGGCACAGGATAACTGGTATGGAAAGCAGTATGACAGAGCCTGAAAATTCTAAACACAGGACTGACAAGTGCTCTGGTGGTCTACCTCTGGGTTTCTAACCCAGACAATCAAGAGCAGAGATTCTGGAGGGCAGTCTCTGCACACGTGTTTATAATAACACCGTTCGCAATCGGCCAAAGTTAGAGACAACAGGACATCCATGGGTAAGTGAGGGGACATGCAGACTGTGGTAAAGTAAATAAATGACTAAATAAATACTATTTGCTTATTATAAATAGTTTTTTATAATAAAATATATTATAAATATTTTACTTATTATAGAATTATTTATTATAAAATGCTGGCATGTGCATTGAAAGGAGCCAGTCACAGCCAGTCACTGTGTGACTTCACATATATAAAGCTGAGGGTTAAACTCAGAGAGAGGTCAAACAGTGGTTTTTAAGGACAATGGGGGCTGAGACAGGCTGATTTACTGACTAAGGTTGCATGGAGAGTCTTTAAGTTAGGAAGATTCATGAAAGCTGTGGGTGGGTGTGGTGCAATGCCATGGAGCTGCTTCAATGTCTCTGAGTCTATCTTTAAGTAGTCACAATGGTAACATTTGTGTGGTGTGTATTTTGTCACAGAGGGAGGAAAGGAAAGTCTAGACCAAAACTCTCTAGGTTTTGCAGAACTTCCAGATGTGCACCCAATCCATCAGCCTTTTCCAAAGCAGGTTCTGATTGATGAGCTAGACCTCTTCCTGCCGACTGGTTTAAACCAATTAAATTCAACAGTCGGGAACACCAAGCAGAGACTTCCAAGACCCTCCCTGCTCTGCTCATGTAGATGAACCAGCCCTATCCTCTTGCCTGCATATCCAGGTAGATGTCTAGCAGCCCCGCACGCCACTTACACACAATCAATAGTGTCAGTGTTCACGCAAGCGGTTCTTCAAGCCAGAAGTCTGAGGAGGCAGGTGGGGAAGCTGACAGTGGGGGAGGAGGAGAGCCAGCCTACCAGGTATCTATTACTCAGGGAGAGATGAAAGAGGAGTCAGTGAGCCCTTTCAAAGCTGAAAACAGCCAGTATGGGTGGATCACACGGACAGACGGCCAGCTGGGCAGCAGGAATTTCTTCCAATGAGGTTGACCATACCAGGAAAACCTCTCTGAGCTGCTAGTGTTAATAGATTGTTAATGATTGATGCACGGGCCTTTTATGTCCCCAAATGAAAGGCAGAAACAGGGCCCTGACTTTGGCGTGGATGACTACCCCAGCACCGGTTCTCTAGCAAAGACGGAATTTTAAAACATTGATGTTAGCTGAGCTTGAGCGGAGCTACACCGCAGCTCATGGAGGAATGAAACGATCTTGTCTGGTGTTCGCCTTCCTTTGTTCTTTCACTCAGACATTAAAAATACAGCAGGCTAAAAGGAGAAAATAAATTTCAAAGACCCTCCTAGACGGCAGGCGCAAAGACAGGTGAGGTGTGCAGTGAGTTTGCTAAACAGACAAAGCAAGTCTGGGATGAGTTTTGGGTTCTTTGGAGACAAGCTTAAGTGTGCCTTGGCTCCTCGAGGCCTCCTTGGAGGATTCTCAGAGGCAGGCCTCGTATACCCACTGCCCTGTGTGCTGGGCTGGGCCTTTGATACAGCATTTCAGAGAGATGCCAGGCTTCCAGGCTTTTCTACACCACTCCAGGAAAAGAGTCTCCCTCTGTGCTCTTGGCCCAGCCAGTCTGATAGCTTCTGAAAGGGATATGGCTTAGGGACTTAGCAACAACAAACACATTTATTGCTGCATGATATAAATAAGACAAAGTCAACATATCACAAATGTTTGCTGTTCTGAGTGTGCTAGATGTGTCTTTCCCCACCCGACACACCCAGGTAACACCTGCCTGATCAATAGACCAAACATTAATTTCATCGAGTCAGGGCCAAGTGACTGAACTTGCTTTCTGTTCTAAGGGAGAAGCCACTTCCAGGAATGCTGCACTGGGCAGAGAGAAAGTATTCAAGTCTGCCACATCACAGATTCTCCCACACTTTGATAATGACTAGAGTGCTCGTGTAACTTGAACTCCAAATGACATGGTGTTTTAGAGTGTTGGTGCAAACATCCCCTGAGATATGAAATACCTTTAAGATTGAAAGTATACCACAAGCATAAATTGAAATTTCCAAGAAACTGGTGTAAATCTTCATCCAGTAGCAACTACACACCTATCCGGCACTGTGTTCCAGACCCCCCACCTGCCACTGCTCCATCCTTGATGTGTTTCTCTCTCTGCTCTGCCCTGTGGGAGGCAGACTCCTGCACACTGTAGCTGGTCCTCTTGCCTTCTGCTATTGCTAATCAGAGACCTTGAAGAACAGCAGGGGGAAGAAAGAGATGCCAGCATATATATATTTTACCACAATCTCACACTGATGCAGAATCCTGGGCAGTGGCTTATCCCTTATATGACTACAGTAGCTCTTTCCAGGGTGGTCCTCCTGCAAGCTGTGGATCTCTCTGACCTCCAGAGGCTTAGTTTCCTCTCTGAGTACCTGAACATTTTTATACTCTTCTGTGTGTAGTTCCTGCATTGTAACCTCCTCATTTGTACCCTCTGAACTGCCTTTTTTCTGACTAATTCTCTTGCTTGCTATGAGCCACTACTTTACACATACCATGTTCATGGACTACAGTCCAGGAAGCAGCTAATTCTTGTTCTTCCCATTTGTAGATGAGGAAATTAGGGGCACGGAGGTTAAATCATCTGCCAAGATGTCTGGCTAGGAAATGTCGAGGTTGTGTCTTACCTCAGTGACTATAATCTAGGGACACTGAGGTGGATCTTCCTCAAAATAGTTTCAAAGTGATGATGACTCTGGAGCCTCTTACCTCATCCCAGAGTGGCCAGGCATCTCCAGAAGTTCATGTCAAGCCCCCAGGTTCAGAGAAGAGATGCAAAAGAGTGTGAGATCCAGGCAGGCCTGTTTTAGCCTAACAAACCATGGACTGTCAGCATCTTTCTCTTTTAGTTGTTGCCCTAACCCTGGGAAGGGAACAGTCCCCATAACCACATCCTCAGCACCACTCAGACTTGTTAAAGATGTGAAGTCCTGGGGCCCCACTGAGACCTGCAGTGGGGTGTGGCACTTGGCTTCTGTAGTGTCCAGCTGGAAGCCTGGTATTGTCTGATTCTCAGAGCTTCAAGGGATTTCCTGGTTTTTCTTTCCCCAATAGGAACACATGAGAAGGTAAGATAAAATTCCAGCCCCTCCCCAACCTTCCTTCCTCCCCCAGAGACCTTCTTTCTGTTTGTGAAGCATCATCAAAGCAATTCTTTATGAACATTTCATGCCCATTGTCAAATCCTAAGCTTGGTTAGCAAGGCACAGAGGCAAGTACCCTATGGGCCCATCTTAGAACATGTTGCTAATCCTAACAGGGCTCCCAGTTTTAGAAGGAAGAGACCTTGATAAACATGGAGCCCTCGTGGAGTGGGAAGACTGATTCAATCTGGTGCCATCCGGGTCAGACTGCTTCAAATCATATGTAGCACAAAACTGAGGAACTAAACACTTTTATACACATTGAAATATTGTTTACATGGAAAAGTTAGGAAACATATTTCTATTCTGATTTGCAGTTTTATTGTTGTTAACCTCAGATCTCATTATACAGTAAATATTCATTGACACTCACCATGTCCAATGAACCATTTTGAGGACATCTTTAACATCCTGAAAGTGTTAAAACATAAACTCTTTTTGGAAAGATGAAAATATGGAATAACCCAATCAAATATCAAAACTTAGCCATAAGTACCTGAAACACATACTTCTTAAATTTTCAGAATATTTGAAAAGAACATATCAGAAAACCAAGGGAAAGTGTCTTCAAAACAGCTTAAACTTACCCTCTAATGTTTTTCTTTCTTCCATAAATTATAGAATTGTGAGTCAATCAGTTCAATCTCTGCTATTGCATTTTTAATATGTTATATGTCCCCATATTTTTAATATGTTATATGTCTCCAAATGATTTTTTTCTGGCTTCAAGAATAGTAGTTTTTGACTGTTCTATAGTGTTTATATTCTGTTTTATTAATCCAAATATTATATCATTTAAAGTTTATACATACTCCACATTTTGTAATAAGCTAATTCAAATGGCTGGTTGCTTTCTTCTGCTGCTACTCACATGAGAAAGGAAACTAAGAACCAAAGGAAGAACTTAATCCTCTAAAAAGCTTCCATAAATGGATATCTAAAAATGCTTTTTGAAAATACCATATATTTATCAACAATAACTATTCTTATAAAAGATCTGACCTGAATGTAGTTACATGAATCGAGGCTATCCACAGGTATACAGTTATTTTAAACTTCCAAAATCTAATATTTTCATGAAAGAAAGTGAGAAAGCTTTCCTAAGAATGTACTCATTGAATAACTGTCTTATTTTCAGAGAGGAAGGTTCTCAGCTGCCTATTCTGATTGGTACAGAAAACATTTCATGAAATTTATTATCAGAAATATAGTTGCCACTATATACAAATGTGCTTCCTTTTTCTGTCATGTGCTTCTGATTAAATGAAAAACAATTTCTCCAAAAATCCAGATTTTTTTTCTTATAAGCTAAATCTATTCTTTTATTAGAATACCAACACTCTTAGCTTCCAAGTGATTTTCTTCAATCTCTATTAAATAAATGCACACCCATGACTAGATTCTTCCCTGGGTTCCTGGACACCAGGATTGGAAAATAATTTTAGGGAACCTCTTAACTCATTAGATGTTAAATCATTTGCTTAATACTGACTTGGCCAAGGTTGTACGTCTCTGTCTTGGGGAGTCTGGGCTTTGAAGATCAGGTAGAAATAACCTACTTGGTACCAGGAACTTAAGTAATTAGATCTATAATTGTGTCACAAATCCCTGAAAGTATTAACTCCTTTACCAGAACTAAAATATGCACTTGGAATAAACTAAAGTCCTTGACTTTATCTTTTCCCACCTGGATCCTGGATAATGGCAATGCACTTGCCTGTGTATATTTACAGGAAATATTTTTATATGTACAAAACATGGTGGTGATTATATGGATCACTCCTTTATGACATGGAATTGAATATAATTAATACTATTCTCCCCCACATGTGTTTCTACTGACAGTTGTTGACAGGGGACATTGTTACATGTACATAAGAGGAACAAGGTTCACT